AAAGGCACCCTGCCAAGTCTCCAAGGCCATGGTCTTCAGGAAACTGACCTCAGGGTGCTCTCGTCACCCTGCTCCCCACCCCATAAGACCCCTCAAGCTCAATTAATTCACAATTAATTACAATTAATGTACAATTAATCCTTTCCTCCCTCAGCCCCCAGGCAACTGCTGATCTACTTTCTGTCTCTAAAAAAAGTCTCTCTTCTAGACGTTTCTTATAAATGGAATCACGTACAGTGCGGTCTCTTGTGTCTGAGGCTTGCCGCTCTCAGCGTGGTGGCTTTGAGGTTCACCCCGGCTCCAGTGTCTGGTTCATTCCTTGTCATCGCCAAATAGAACGCCATTGTGCGGATGTGCCCGTCTGTCTATCGGTTCACAGGTGGACGGACGGCCCGCGATGTTTCCACTCTTTGTAGGAACTTTCAGGAGCAAGCTTTTGTGCACAGGGGGCTCCATTTCTCCTAAGTAGATATCTGCAGTGGGACTGTGGGGCCTTAGGGTAACGTTTTAAGAAACTGCTAAATTGCTTTCCAAAGTGGCTGCACCAGCAATAGAGGAGAGCCCTGGTTTCCTCCCCTGGGCTGCTCAGTGCTTGGAACTGTCTGACTTTTGGATGATAGTCACCCTGATGGGTGTGAAATGGCATCACATTGTGCTCCCTCAGTCTTTAAGTGAATGAATACATTATCTCTGAAGCCAGAGAGAACTTGACTTTGAACCTTGGTGGTCGTACTTAATGAGGTTTATGCCCTGGAGCAAGTCACTTCCCCGTGGAGAGGCTGAAGGATTTCACACAGTGAGATAAAGCAGTGATCCCCTAAGGAACAGAGGGCCTGCTATGGATCTCGTGCCCACCAGGATGAAGCCGGTAGCAGCCTGGCCACCTCTGTCACTTCGACCATCGTCTTCATCATCATCATCATCACCCTCCAGAGACAAGCCTGCATCATGACAGGGACTGTGGCAGGGACAGTTCCAGGCTCCATTGGAGGCACCTGGCCTGTGTCCATGTTTTAATCTGTGACACTGTTTCTATAACCATCCCTGTTTTATAGATGAGAAAGGGGACCCAGAAGGGGGACCCTTGCCCCAAATCACAAAGTTGGCGAGTCACAGAGCCAGTTCCAGAGCCCAGCCCTCCATCACCGCATCACACTTCCTGCCCTTACAAGGCAAACTGGAGAAGTGCCATTCCTAGAGAAAACAGACCAAATTCAAGTGGAAAAGAGGAGCGAGGACCACGGCGTCATCGGAGCATGGGCCTGGACGGGACATCCCGGCTGAGGCTGCTCAGGAGGAGGCCCGTGGTGGAGTTTGCTCTTCTTCTTTGCATAGGGACACGGCCCTGGGAACAGAGCTCAAGGCATCTTTTGTGCTTCTGTTCCACAGTGAGTGACGTCACGGGCACTGCTAGGTCTTTAGCATTTCTGCCAGATACAGAGCTCAGAGCACTGGTTCTGGAGAGGAGAGCAAGGTGACGTGCAGCAGAGGGCTTGCATCTTCAAAGAAGCAGGTGAGCACGGTGCTGGGGGAGCACCTGGGTGCTTTCTGTGCTGGGGGAGTGACAGGAGAAAGGGCAGGTCCCCGAAGGCAGGCTGGCTGATCCTGGGGCTGTGCGACGGTGGGGGTGGGGCTGGCACTGGTGACAGAGTTCCTGGCTGATGGGTGAGGGACAGAAAGACCCCTCCCTGGACTAGTGCACTCACTTCTCCTCCTCTTACCTGTAGCTGTGACCATGGAGACCAGCCCAGACAGGTTCTTCTTCCCGGGAAACCACTGGCTGTACTTCTCTGTGTACCTCTTCTCCTTCCTCGTGGGGCTCCCACTCAACCTGATGGCCCTGGTGATCTTCGTGGGCAAGCTGCGGCGCCGCCCGGTGGCGGTGGACATTCTCCTGCTCAACATGACCCTCTCGGACCTGCTCCTGCTGATCTTCCTGCCATTCCGCATGGTGGAGGCGGCCAGTGGCATGCGCTGGCCGCTGCCCTTCATCCTCTGCCCCCTGTCCGGGTTCCTCTTCTTCACCAGCATCTATCTCACGTCCCTCTTCCTGGCAGCCGTGAGCACTGAGCGCTTCCTGAGCGTGGCCTACCCGATGTGGTACAAGACGCGGCCCAGGCTGGGCCAGGCTGCCCTGGTCAGTGGCATCTGCTGGCTCCTGGCGGCTTCTCACTGCAGCGTGGTCTACGTCGCTGAATTCTCTGGGGACCAATCCCACAGCCAGGGATCCAACGGGACCTGCTACCTGGAATTCCGGGAGGACCAGCTGGCCTTTTTGCTGCCTGTCCGGCTGGAGATGGCCGTGATCCTTTTTGGGGTGCCCCTGCTCATCAGCGGTTTCTGCTACAGTCGCCTCGTGTGGATCCTCAGCAGGGGGACCAGCCGGCGCAGGCGCAGGAGGGTGGTGGGGCTCGTGGTGGCCACTCTCCTCAACTTCCTCGTGTGCTTCGGGCCCTACAACATGTCCCACGTGGTGGGCTACATCGAGGGTCAGAGCCCCACCTGGAGGAGTTACGTGCTGCTCCTCAGCACCCTGAATTCCTGCGTGGACCCCCTTGTCTACTATTTCTCATCATCCAGGTTCCAAGCCGATTTCCAGGAGCTGCTGGGGAGGCTGATGGGGGGCTGCAGCCCTTGGAGGCTGGAGGTTAGCGTGGAGCTGAAGGTCAAGGGTGGAGGAGAGGGGCAGGTGCAGGACTGTCCGACCTAGAGAGCAGGGACAGACTTCAGAAGGCTAGGGAGCAGGTAGCCCCAAGGTCTGGGCTAAGCGTGTGGTCCTCTGGGGCAGGGAGGTGTAGCAGACCCATGTCCCCGGGGCAGGACCATGCCATGCCGTGACAGGTCGACTGGATGTGGCTCAGGGGCAGAGCAGATACCCTGCCCCCTTAGGGATGTGCTCACAGAAGCCAGCTCTTGATTTTTGCCTCTTCCGGTTCTCCCATCTGCTCTGGATCTGACTCTGGGAAGTTGTCAGGATCGGAGACTTCTCTGGAAGAAAATGACCTCCCCCAGTGTCCCCCCTCCCTCCTCCCGGGCCCTGACAGCAACAGGCCAATTCCTGTGTCTTTCTGAGGGAAAAGGAGGAAAGAGCAGTGCCCAGGGTCAGAGGGAGCGGCCAGGCGACAGGAGAGGGGAGAGGGAGGAGTTCACTCTTCAGGTTGGGAGGGGAGCAGACAGGGCCCCAGGGCTGGGGAGCAACCTGCCCCCCAGGGTGGGCTGTACCGGAAAGTTCCCAGTGCTCAAAGAATTCAGATCTTCAGGGACGGTTTGTGAACCTTGACAGAGAAAAGTCACCCAAATAAATTTGGTAGCGAGCAAAAGAGAATGGTCTCTCCTGATTCTCCTTTTTTCTCATGTGGTGAATGGGAGCATCAACACCCAGATTTGGAAGGGAAAGAACTAGAGGACAGGATGCCTCTGGCCGAGGCTCTGGGTCAGGGAAAAGAGAAATAATAGTGAACCCATCTTAGGAGCTGGCTGGATCCATTACCTCCCCAATAGCCACACGGTGGGGACAACATTATCACCATTTGGCAGAGCAGGGAACCAGCCCAGAGAGGCCAAGTATTCCCCTGAGACGGCAGAGCTAGCCTAGTGCGTGACTGGAGGAGGACTGGAAGTTGGACTTTGTGACTCCAAAACCTAAACCCCCAGCCCACTCTGCATCCTTCCTTCTGCTGTGGGTCAGTCTGCAGTGACCTGGCTCAGGCAAACTTCCAAAGTTGGGGGACCCGGTATAAACAGGAAAAAAGTAAACAGGCCGCAAGGGGAGACAAAATCAGAGACAAAATCAGAGGCAAAGCAGGTCTGCTCTCTGTGCAGGTCCATTCTCCTCCCAGGAAAGAAATACGTGCAAAAAAAATAATAATAATTATAATTAATTAATTAAGGTCATTAGCACAGTTGACTTCAGAGGGTGAAAAACATAGATGGACCTTCTTAAAAGCTGTTTTTGCTGAGATGTGGTCATCGTGCAAGTTTTCGCTCTGCACTGAGGGGTGACACATGGGAAACAGCTGGCCAGGCCTCCCTTCCCCGCAGGGCAACCAGAGAAATGCTGGCGCCTGTTTGTACTCAGTCTTATTGCCAACGCATTTATTGATCACCTACTCGGGGTAGATGGTTGAGCTCAGAACTTCAGGGATTTCAGTACCAAAGTTAAAAAATGTTCGCTTTTTTCCCGGGAGAATGAGGCCTGGGTGTGGGCGGGGGCTGGGTTTGGGTGGGGAGAGGACGGTGAACGCTGTCACCCGTGTGGCCCAGGGCATTCTTCCACAGCGGCTGCTAACAAGCTGATGCAAACCTGGGTCTGCCTGGTTCTGAAAGAAATCAAAGGTGTCATGAGTCCTGTGACCCCTGAATGGGTCAAGCTGGGAACAAGTTGAAAACCTCACGTTCTGAAGAAAGCCGAGAAGAACAGGGGCGCGACTCCTTCCCCTGGGCTTCTGGCGAGGAGTTAGCGGCAGGGTCACTGGCTTTGCTTGCCCTCCATCCTCACCAGGCAGCCCCCCAACTGCGTCTGTGCCCGTGATGAACTCGGGTGCCGGGGGGTTCGGTCATCAGAGTTTGGGGCGATCGTCTGGGTGGTGTGAGGGGGTGTCGGGGCATTTTCTGGGACTCTCCAGAAGTTAAGGGAAAGGGGGCCACTCTGGGAGGGTGGATTCCGGGCCATGTGAGCGGGGGAGGGAGAGTGGCAGAGAGATGACAGTGGAGTGTCCACGGGTGACAGCAGCAAAGCTTTCCTGCTGGTAGGGCAAACAGTGAATCGCCCGTGGGGGAGGGGACGCAGCAAGGGCAGAGGTTCTGGGGAGATGCTAATGTTACCATCCAGAGGCGCTGGGTTCTTTGTCTCTGCTCAGCGAAGAATTGAAAAGCCGGACACAGAGGTTGCAAGCCGGCATTGGCATCGGGCTAACCGCCAAAGCCACAGACACAGACTTCCCCAAGAGGAGGGGCCCTGGAGCCGGGAGTCCAGGGGGCAGCTTTGACCTGGGTGGCCTTTGGAGTTTCCTCTTTTCCTATCTCCTGCCCTGGCCACAGGCTCCTCACTATTTTTGATTGGTGCCCCTCTGTCCATGCATCTGTTTTAGTTTTTCTATTGGATTCCCCACTTAAGGGAAGGAGTACAGAAGTGTCCGTCTGATTGGGTCCCCCGCTTGTGCCCCCAGCACTTTCATCAAGCAGGAAGATGACCTCATCAGAAGACCCTCTCCATGCCCCTTCGTCTGGCCCTGCCCCTGGCCTCCTCACGGGCCACCTTGCCCTGGCTGCCTAAGCCCTTCTACATCTCCCTCACTTGGAGTTGATCCAGATTGGATCTCCCTAGACAGAGAGGATCCACATGCTAGCTTCGAGGAAGCTGGCTTGGTTATATTTCTTTCTCCTGCTTGGGCTTTGCAGCAAACACACTGCATATCAGTTTATGTGTTGTGGCCCTCTGGAAGGACACAGACCATTCCAAGCCTGCTTCTTCTTCCAAAGAACTGATTTCCTCCTTTGGGGGGATGCTGCTGAGAAGGCAGGGGCTCGAGAAGCAGTCTCCACCAGGAGGCTGAGGAAGCCCATCTCACAGCCAACCAGGTGAGAC